TTCCTCCTACATATCTAGCATTTTCTCTATGTCTACTAACGCTTGGTGTCTATCCTTGCTAGGGCATCAGCGAACTAAGACCAAACGACACCTGTCTCCTCTTGTCCTGAGGCTCGGCCACATTGTTTGGTCAGGAAGGTGGATGATTCACCTCACATGTTCTGACGCCGTATACTTCCCCCGTCGGTTGACCTCTCGCCAAAAAGTAAGGCACCTTGACATTTCAGGACTTTTTTTAATGGTTCTACCACCAACCCAATATTTGCTATGTACGTTTCAGTTTTCGTTGTCTGTTTGTTTTGACAGGTTTGGTGTTTTGTTATGGTTTCCTAGTGTACTGGGTTTGGATGCCTCTCGCTTGTCGTACTTTGTGTCGGTCCGTCAGGAGGTCGGCTCTTGTTTTTTGTTTCTGTTCTTTTTCCTCCTGACATCTACCTACGGCATTTCTTTTATTACAGAGAAATGGCTCTTTCCAAAATAAAAGCTATACTATACGCTTCTTCTGGGCTATATTCTCAGCAGCATATTAAACATATCAGGTCCCCATAAGGAGAATCATGTGCTAACGGCTGTCTAAATGACTCGGGTAAAGTTTGTAGCATGCGTGCTTGTTGTTTTTGTCTGCTTCCACTTGTCTTTGCACTAGGATGATGTCGGAGTAAATGTGCAGTCATATTCGTTGTGTTCCCACTAGTGCTGTCAGGTTAATCTCGTTGAAATGACCTTAACGCCACAACACGGCAAATCTCCGTTAACGAGCTACCGCGGATCGCCCCGTGCATGGGGCTGGACGGCCAACACGTTAACGAGCTAACTGCGCTAACACACTAGTTCCCACCCATGTAATTAAGCATTGCGTGGCACATCCAACATACTGTTTTACTTTAGTCCATGACGCGCTTACCTTCAGGGTCATACGTCACATGAAAACCAAAATAATTCCAAACGCCAGATCTGAATGAGAGTGGGGGAGGTCCATCTTGCAAGGAGAGCTTAACTTCTGTCTCGCTAGCTTGCCCTGCGCTCTTCCTTCTGACGATGCTGTCTGTGTTGAGCGCTCAGTGATCTGGTTTTCATGTGACGTATGACCCTGAAGGTAAGCGCGTCATGGACAAAGTAAAACAGTATGTTGGAGGCCGCAATGCTCAATTACATGGGTGGGAACTAGTGTGTTAGCGCAGTTAGCTCGTTAACGTGTTGCCGTCCAGCCCCACGCAGGATCGGAGCTCGTTAACGGAGATTTGCCGTGTTGTGGCGTTAACGTCATTTCACGATTAACGCTGACAGCACTAGTGGGAACACAATGAATATGACTGCACATTTACCCGACATCATCCTAGTGCAAAGACAAGTGGAAGCAGACAAAAACAACAAGCACGCATGCTACAAACTTTACCCGAGTCATTTAGACAGCCGTTAGCACATGATTCTCCTTATGGGGACCTGATATGTTTAATATGCTGCTGAGAATATAGCCCAGAAGAAGCGTATAGTATAGCTTTTATTTTGGAAAGAGCCATTTCTCTGTAATAAACTCTCTTTTCCAAAGATGAGTGATTCCTCAATCAGATAGATTTATTTTTTTATTACTTTGTTGTTTCAGCAACATTAAATTTAAAAACTGTACTTTTGAGTTAAAATATATATTTATAATTTTAATAAATGACAAATTAAAAAGGCATGAACATTTTTTTTGTATCGAAAAAATATCGAACCGTGACACCAAAGTATCGAACCGAACCGTGAATTTTGTGTATCGTTGCACCCCTAATATATTTAAAGATCTGCATCACTTTTTCCTCTATGTCCAAAGCAAGCAACACTTCAGTCCATTTTTACAGAGACTGAAATGACACGACAAGCACAACTTTTTTTAAGGTGGATTAACAAAGCAAGCTGATAACCGCCGTTGTGGTAACCACAATCTCAAACTGGGTTGTTAACACAAAGCTCGGTTGGTCAGGGTCACATGTATCGGTCTATAAGCTGAGCTTTGATTGCTGCAACCTGCCATTGTTACGCTTGGTAGTAATGTGCCATGTAAACACCTAAATCGATACAAAAAAAATGAATGGCACACAGATATTCCATAAAACACATGTAATACATAATAGTCTGTTAACGTCAAGGCAGAAACATTCACTTTCTACAGCTCGACCTGCGTCTGCTTGTAGAAGACTTCCTTTATTTGTATTCCAGTAATTTCAGGTACAGTAAGTGTTATTCACCATTTATCAGCTGTAACTCTTATCAGTCAATAACACCACCACAGAGTAGCATTATGAGACAAACATGTAAAGCATGTTAGATCAGTTAGTTGCAGTTACTTCTTTTCTGCTCTGACTATTAACCAGAATCAGTTTATACCAAGATTTGTTTGAGTAAAAATGATAAAAGTTCCTCTAACCTGGAGCACAAATGGAGAAAAACTGATATGTTATCACATGATTAGTGTTTTACTGTGAATATAAATTAGAAATTCCCACAAAGAAAAGAAAGGTGTACGCTGTAAGTTATATTTCCTAAAATTAGGATTGGCCCAGAAAATTGAAATTGGTGTATCTCTGCTAAAAAACCCAGGGCTAAATCTGGCTAAATCCTGCTTCGTAACGCAGCAGTCTGGACCCGTGTTGCTGATAAGATAACCGAGGTGTGCAGTGACTCACCGGCTGCTTGGTCTGGCCTTTCTGTGGTTTGCTGTAGGGGCTATATTTCGGTTTGGCTGGTTTACCTGCTGCTCGGTCTTTATGACGCCGGCTGCTGATGTGCTGGAAATGAGAGACAGATTCAAAACGAGTCACACTTTAATGTTGTCCTTTTACTGCGGTTATTCCAATATTAAAATGACTATTAAGTCATTTGTTTTTCTGACTTAATCATTAAACCACCTCCAACACACAGAGCAGGGAGTCCTCTTCATGCTCTACTGAAAAATATCCACATTCAGTTTCATAACAATCTATCTGAGACAGCCTCTTACCCTAAAACTGCAGTACCGCAGCAATAAAATGTGCAAATGTGGTAAAGTGTTTTGAATGTGTGCACCAATCTGTTAATGTGAACACGGTTTGTACTTGTACAGAAACAGTCAAATGAAAATAGATTGGGAGGCATCACTCGGGGAACAGAAAAGGAGGTACAATAACCAAAAACATACCTCTTGACTCATGGCAAAAGATCTTACAGCTTTATGGTTTTCACACCTGTGGTGAAAATGTCTGCACTTCTATCGCTGCAAGTTACACTGCAGAGCTTTTTACTAAATGCCACAGTATATCCCATTGTTAAATACAATTCATTTTGAAACCCTTGGAGCATCGGGCCAGATCTGAATAAACCAATAAAACAGAAGACAGAGAATTACAGTCTGACCTAAAGCCAGCAAATTCACAGTGGGTACATGCTGACAACAAAAGGAAAATTTCTGGCTGTGTCTAAATTTCACAAGTCCTTGCAGTGGGCTTAACAATCATACTTTTCTTCTGCTTTCAGCTCTAACTAAAATGTTTCATGCTGGATTCTTTTCACAGAGAATTGCTGCTGTTCAGAAGTACTCAGCAAAAGTCCTCGCATGAAAAATTCATACAAATCCCGTCTGTCTTCAGGGAGAGAACTCGAGGTTAGCTCAGACTAAACAGAGTGGTCTTCAGCTACTGTAGAAGACGTTCCCCACATGACAGAATGATCAGCACTACAAGAAAAGAAGATTTGCACAGCGTCCCGCAGGAGCTATAAAGATACACACGAAGCTATTTCAGTCACAGTTGCATCTTTGTCACCTCTTATCGTACCTCACTTAATCTAAAATTAAAACAGGCAACTCCTTGACCGCACACTTTAACCAGCTTTTTTTATAAAAATTTTTAAGGATTTCTGCATTCATAAAGACCTCAGACAGATATCCAACAGGAATAAAGGCAAAACTCATTACTAGTTGCTCTTAAAATCCAGTCTGACTCGTACGTGACCTTATATAAGTTCGTTTTCAAAGAGGAACAAAATACCATTTTTCAGATTCAGACATTCAAACATCACAGAATAATAATAAAATAATCCTCAACTGAAAGAAACATCCATAAGCGGCAGGTTCATATCTCGAGGCGAGGATGAATTTGCTCTCCCAGCAGCTGCAGGTAACTGCAAGTTTTATAGTAATATGTTTAAAATAATAATGTAGTGTACTGAGCTTTCCTGCCTTCATCTGCAGTCTCAGATGGCACTGAAAAACAGACACTCACACCTGCGGCCAAGTTAAAGATCACCAATTAACCAAACAAGGACTTGTTATTTAATATATTCAGGTTTAAGATTGGTAGATGACAGGACTGCATTTCACACCAAGACATCCTGAAACAGCCAAGCACATTCTGCTTGTTGAACCAACGCTGCCTGCGTTGGTTGGGGTATGTTTGTCACATGGAGGATAAGAAGCTAGCTGTGGACAGCTAGCTCAGAGCACCATAAAAAGTCAGTCATCCCATGCTATGTTTTAAGGAGAAGGACAAAGGAAAAGCTCTTCCGCTGCCTGGTGATCTTTGGAGAGGTCAGGTCACTGCAGAGAGGACGCGCCCTGTGGCAACCACCGAAACCGGGACCTCCCAATTGATTTGCACCAACTGTAACACAGACTTCATGCGTCAGCCTGCAGTGCAGTAGCAGATGGTGTCAAGGCCCAATGACCATCTCGGTTTCTTAAGACTGAGATGCCAATGGTAATTATTTTATAGTCGCAGTTTTCCCAGAGTTTCTCCCTCTCATACTGTGTTTGTACTGTGTTTGTTTCCCGTCCTCGTATATCTTTGTTTAGAGTTGGTATTCGTGTCTGCTTTGGTTAGTTCCTGTTTTCCTTCATGTCCTGTGTCACTTTTGCTTCCTTTCTGTCTTCCCCTGATTCCCTGACTGTTTTGTCCTGTTGTTAATTGTGTTCACCTGTTTTCCTCTCCCTCCTGTTTCTCATAAATAATCAGTCTGCTGTGTACTGTATGTAAAAGCCTTGTTTCCTTTTGTCCTTGTCGAGCTGTCTGCGACTGCTTCTCCATGCTACCTTGCTTGCTATTTATAATCTGAGTTCTTGTGTTTATCTTCCAGGATTTTCTGCTCTTGTGTTGTGTCTTTGACCTTTTTTCAGCTGAAAGTAGTTTGGTTTTTGTTTGCGTTATCTGCATTCTGTGTTTCAGATCTTCAACAGTCCATACGACACTGTAGGCACAAGGAGAAAATGGAAGCTAAGCACAACAAACTGATGAGGAGAGTCAAACCACTGACACTAACCACAATACCACTGTGGTACCCTTAGTGAAAGGCAGTCATAGAAAAATTGCACTTACAAGTTCTAATGTTTGTGTCAGTTTTCCAGTCTAGCCATCCTCCTTTCCCCTAAACTGTGAAATGACTCATTTGGATACACATTTATTCAATCAAACATATTGTTTTTACTTTAACTTATTATATATCCTCCCCCAGTCTGATCTAATGAAGTCACAATGGCATTAAAGAAAGTGGTAAACCTCCAAACAGACCTTTTTTTTTAATAATAGCAATGAAAATATGAAGCTAAGTTTCATTTAGCTATTATATGCCATGCACTGGGTTTTATTTCCATTTCCAAATGCAGGGAATGTGTTTGACAGATATGGAAATAAAATCAATCCTTTCACAAATTAGAATATTTCGAGACTGCTCCCTCAAAAGCCAAATGATTCACTGAATAATAAAAAAAAGACGTTGATGACTTTTAATTTTCTTTGATATTTATAATGCACGATGAACATGATGAGTAAAATGCCATATTATTACAAAAATTTTGATTTTGTGTCAGTCTAATCCGTATCTGGCTTTGCTTGTTTAATAAGATCTTGTGATCAATTTTACACAGAAATCCATTTTCCAGTTTACTACTGAGCGAGTGTCTCGGGCTCCGTTTATATCTCTCACCTGTTTTAGCTGAGTCTCTGAGTTGACGTGCACGTCACATGTCTCACAGTAAAACGTTTTGTTCTGCAGGCCTGTGGATGATTTGGAGGATGTAGCCAGTTTGCTTTTGACTCCTGCTCGAGGAAAAGACTTGATGGAACCCACGCCGCTCCTGGCCTCGAGCATCGTCTTGTGCTTCGTACCTGCAGGTTCAAACAGGAAGCAGTTTGGTCAGTACATGAATCTGACTCAACAGAGGCCACCTGAGGAAAAGGGGTCAACTTTTATATTATCCTTATGTCACAGATCAAAGTAAGTGAACAGTCCTATTAAACGCACTGAAAGCTGACCTTTTGACCAAATACTCCTCAGGGCTAGAGAGTAAGGGCCCGGTTGTACGTCACTCCCTGGAACGATACCTCCCCGAGCACTTAGCTACAAGGGCCAAGACTGGTTCACTGGTTCAACCAAAAACTCTTCTGAACTTGTTTCAGTTTCACTCAAACAGAAGCTCAAGTCATCAACACAGATGTCACTAATATGGGGCACTTATGCAGTAAATTAGCATGTTAAGCTGTTCATTATTCAGCAGGAAATCACTACATTTCAAATTGAAATGATTTTTGGGCAAACTTCTGGCAAACGATGCAACCGCTATTTGAAAGCCATTCGTTTAATCCAGATATATTTAGGTCCAGCTCTTGTAGCTCCGTGGTGTAATCCAACAGGTTGAAGAGCTAAAAGAAGGAGATCCAAGTTTATGCAAAACTGTCACTGCCAATTGAACTCAAGCACTGAACCCAAAGACGGACTTTTCCTTAATCAAAAGCAAACGGAATATTTTAGCTTTTACAACTGCTTAAAAATACTGTTGACAACAATGGGCTGCAAAGCTGGTCGAATGTTTATGAGATGACCAAATACTCTGTAATGAAGAAGCTTGATTTGTGTGAATTCGTGTAGAGCTTTGTGGTCACTTGTGAAATCCAGCTGCCCGATGAGTATTTCAGTAAGTGTTCGGTGTTTTTCATGGTGGAGAAACTGTTTAGAAATCTTTATTTGACTGTTTTATGTTGTTGAAACTTTAATGAAAAAGTCAATGTTTAAAACAAAGATATCGCAGGCAGAAGCAGAGGAACAACCTCAGACTGAAAGCAAAGATGACTCTGTGTACTGTCATTTCCCTGTGTTGTGTCTGTGTGTGTTTGTGTGTGAATGCAGTATGAGAAATTAGTTTGAAACAATGACTGCTTTGTTTTCAAAAGCAAGGATGTCTCGCAATACCTGATTAAAGTTTGATAAAAGGTTCCTATGGAAACTACAGAAGGATAATTGAAGAATTGTGTTTTTTCAAGCCCCGGAATGATTGCTGAAGACAGCGGAGATAACTCTACAATACCGACAAACAAACGCTTGAACACTGAAGGAACCCAGCAGATAACAACCTTCCCCACAAAAAGCACTGACTCACTGAAAAAATTATTTCAACACAGATGCTGTCATGGAAATTTCACAACATGGAATGAAACAATCATGCAGAGTCCGTGTTCACTGAGAAAAACACAACCAGCAGGTAAACACCTCATTCGTACAGCAGAGCCAACCTTACTTTTGTTGTTTTGTTTCAAGTTTGGGGGGGAAAAAAAAAAAGGTCTGTCATCCACTCAAACTCTCCACGTTTGCGGCAAATCTTGGCACACGTCTCTCACCGCTATTGTGAGCCTCCAGCTGTGACGCGGAGTTGACTGCCACTTTGCAGAGGGAGCAGTAGAGAAGACGGCGAGCTTTCTCCTCCTCCGTTTCTGCGTCTGTCTCCGCTTCGGGTTCGGCATCGGGCTCCGGGAGGTCGGGTTCTGACGGGGAATCTAGCTTCGAGTGCCCCTCGTCTCCCCCAGCAGCTGAGGTAGTCTCTGGGGCTGCGGCCGCCGTGCTGCTCGGCACTGTCAGCGAGGCCACAGGTGCTGGCGACGGCGTGGTAGGGGTCGCCAAGGATGCCAGGGGTTGTGCTGTTCTGAGCACAGGGGAAAGCGCTAGGGGCGCTGTTCCAGGGAGGCCATCTGTAGGGAGAAATAAATCACACAAAGAAATGTCTTTGATTTGAATCATATTGCTCCATCCATCATTCACGGACAGAAATGTTTTATTCATGTGGTGTTCACCCAACAGGTGGCTTAATGTGTTTTTATTGAGACTTCACGGGATCATTTCTATTTTTATTTGTTTGCTTTATTAAAGAACATAACATGAAATATTGATCTAAAGTAAAAGAGGTACTGCTGTACACTGCTATGCAGCCCATGCCTGCAGTGCTGCCCTACTTTTTTTGCCTCTGTCTCTCTCTCTTCTCCTTTTCTATGTTCATGAGCTTTGTTTCTTTTCTCTATCCTATTGCGTGCCGTGTCCAGCCAGAAATCAGTCTCAGTGTGCCATCCTTAAGGATAACACCCTTTGCAGAATATACACAAACTATGGATACATTGTTAGAGTATCTCCTAACTCCTAACAATATTTCATAACTCATTAAACTGGAACTAGTTCAGCACTAGTATTGACTGATACTTGAAGGCAAGGCATCTGTATCATATTGCAAATGGAAAAAGCTGCATCTAAAAACCACGGTGAGAGGGGGACTCTGCAGATATGTATTCATGAGCTGTTTCAGGTATTTAAGATGATCAGCTGTGTAATCAAACTGTCTGCCCTTCACTGTTTGTGTGTCGAGGCCATATGTGTGTTTTATAAATTAAGAACATGAATTTATCACAGCTCAATCTTCTTGTCACAATTAGCCACGCTGTGAATTTCATTCATGGCAGGCCTAATTATATTCAGACATGAACAGTGCTAGTCGCAGTGGTAGATGGTGTAGATGAGCCGCACGTCATATTTAATAGATTCACCTGAATCACTTTAAAATGATGTCTCTGAAGCTAGCACAATTCGTTTTGTTAAACGTGCTAAAGCTCGACTCCTCTCTCCTTGCATCTCTTCCACTACTGAGTCTTTGATGAGAGGGACTAACACACATAGAGATGAGGTGAGGAAAGGAATCAAGGATGCACAATCTGAGAAGGTAGGTCAGTGTTTGTGTGCAGCCCTGGGTGTGGCTTTCTTCCACCGGCACCAGGACTGCCGCACATGGCTTCAATCAAGTACTCATCAAGCTGCAGTGTTTATATTCCTTTCACTCACTTCCTGCCAAACTGTTTGCATCACCGGTGTGGTAGCAACTCCTGGCCCTTTTATAAAGATTTTCTTAGTTGTAACTTGGCTCCGTCCTTCTTCACAGCTCACTGCCCGCTCCAGTCTCACACCAAAACAACACCGTTCATGTGCCCGTCCACTCTCCACCAGTTACTCCAGCTTCTTCCCCCTACTTGCTCCTGCTTTGCCAGCTCAAGACTCCAACATGGTCTGTTTTTGGGGCATGCCAGCTTTTAGTTCTAAAACCTCAAAGTATATTCAATTCATGAAAGCCGAGATTTGGAAATGATGGCTTATGATGGCTGGATTCAGATCAAGTTATTTTTTCTATTAATTATATAAACAAAGCTGAACGGTACAAACTATATACAAGCGGATCCTTGAAAAACAAACATCCAAAAGCTTTTCCATCCAGACATGTTCGTTGTTTGGGAGCAGACAGACGTCATTTTGCAAAATCAGCACATACGGAGCGGTTGAGAAGCTACAAACACATGTTTTGTTGCTAAAACTTGGAGAAACAAACTGCACCGAAAGCAACAGCTCCACAGTCACAACAGCCTTAAACATATACTGTAGATAAACGTGGCAACATGACTTTGGCAACATAAACCCTGCTCGGTTTCGAGACATCTGTCATGAAACAGAATGGAAACGTGCACTTCCAAACACTTGTGCAAGTTGATGCATGTGCATCACCATCCAGTAACACACAGAACGCAAGTGCAAGAGTTTCAAATGGCAGCCATCAGACTTGCTCTTGTCACTTGTACTAGTGTTTCTCTCAGAAAAACACCATCACACTCACTGGAGACTCTGACATGATAACACAAATAGTGCCCTGAAGGATAAAACAAAAAGAGATTTTAACTGATGAATGAAAGTGACAAGATGTGAACTTCATAGCTGAGGGAATGTGTAACAGTTTACAAGGGTGTCAACCTCAGTTTCACTAAAGGCCACAGTGGGAAATAAGAATCACATGAAGGCACAGACATTTGTTGACTTGCTTTAACTTTATCGAAAGAGTAAACGCAACTGAAGTCCTAAAGTTGTTTAGCCATTATATCATTCAGTCAAGCAAAATAATGATAATGCGTTCTCATTACAATTATACAAGTTGGCTACCATACAGCCAACTCACAACACACCAGCCTGGATATGACTCCTGGGTCATTTATTAAACCAAATGCATCCATCCATCCAGGTGTAAAGCAAACCAGAGAATCTTTTCATTTTGTTCTTGCGTGTGTGTCTGAAAGTTTTACACAGTTTGTTTCACAGGCCTGAACATGACAACTCTGTGTGGTACATTTTATTTTTAAAAAAAGACCTTTGATTACATAGATTATATGTACCATGCAGCCTTCTGCCACTAAAATGGACTGCTCATAAAATTTAAACTGCCTTTTGCTCCATCGCTTCATCTGAGCTGAATCTCATATTGTGCTGTAGTCAGTTTTTTCAAAACCTCGAACATTAATATGATGGCTCAGATTGTGTTCCTGCAAAACAGAGATGTGTCATAGAAAATACATCACTCTTTCAGGAATGAATATTGTTTCTCAATCGAAGCTTATTTCCAACACTAAACATTTGTTCTTGTTTCTCTCTTTTCTTTTTTTTGGTCAAAATGTGGGATTATTGCAAATTTTATTTATTTTTTTGTGGATTTTGTGTTACTTTCTTAGCATTTGGAGTGAGAAACTTTCAGACCAACTCTAACACTATTTTGAGGTAATAACCCGAATTTTTGGACAAGCGTTTGGGTACCTGTTGAAATCACCTTTCCCTTTTTCCTGCCTTTTGTGGTAGATATTGCTGATGTCCACAACAACAGACTGCATATAAAAGATGGATTTGGCAACCATGCTGTCGCACACTGTTTTGCTCTGTTACATTTTTGAAACTTTGAGCTGATGTTTTTTTGCTATTGCTATCTTAGCTTGTTAAAACAAGGCATCAGGAGTACGGAGAGGATCCGACTGAGGAGAGGTGCTGCCTTGCTAATCAGAAGATTTGCCTGTCGATGAGCAACGTCATTATCATGTTTACATGATGAAGAATCAACGAGAACAAAAGACGATCAAGTGTTTACTGAGGTTACAGATCAAAGGAGCCGTAGACTTCTTTATGATCATTCTTTTTGCAAACACAGTAGTTATCCACTGCTGCCAAATGATTTCACTCTTTACATGTGGAACTGATATCCATTTTTCATATACAGGGTGTGCTTACAATTAGGGGGACCAAAACATAAAGTGATATACAGACTAGATTAAAAATTTTCAAAGGAGTGAATTGAGCTCTGAAGGACTAAGTTTGATGTCTCTGATTTACACAGTCAGCTCTTCTGGTTGTTTTTAGCTTAGTCTCTGTAAAGACGGACCCAACACACTGTTACGATTATGGGTTTTTAATAGCACTTTCACAGGTTGAGCCTCTCTGTTCGCAGCTTGTCTCGGCACACACATCTCCTGCTCCAGTCTCCGGCTTCACTATAAGAAAAGAGACGTCTTATTAAGCAGATCGTCACCACCTGTGGCCTCACCTGCCTTCCCGGCACCGCCCGCTTAAGGTCTCTGTACCACCCCTCCCCTGCAGCTGAGCCAGGGACCACACCTCCACCACAGTCTCTAAGCTCAGTAACCAGGAATATAAATTTTATTGCTTTATATTAGTACAGCCCAACACTGTAAATATACCACATTCTTCTGAACATGGAAAAACTTAAGTATAAAATGAAGACTAAAGCAAAAGAAAGAAAGTATTAAAGTTTAAAATAAAATGTTTACTTCATCGGCACAAAAACTGATTCAAGCCGTACAATCAGACTCAAAAGAACACACATGACTTTCTAGACCAAAGGCAAGAAGATCTGATTTCTAAGGTGTTAAAATTGCTCCAAGATGAGTTGTTCAGGCGATTACTGATTACATGCCAGATCAGGCACATAAATATGAAACAAACTATGCAAGCAGTCGCACCTCTAATCTGCTATTTGTATGAGAGCTCACATTAATGTGTACAAAGAGGCTGCTGAAAGACATGTCTGATATTTTTAGGAACAAACACAGCAGCAGATCAATATATTTGACTCCTAAAACAACACCACGTGTCACAGTATGGAATACAGAAGACTGCTGCCACATCTGCGAAAATGAAATTTTGCCTTGGCGGCTCCGTCTGATCGATGCCAATGCCTCACAGTTCCCCGCACTCCAGTGTCACAAAATGAAGATCAGCCAGCCAGGAGAGCAAATCAATAGTGAATTATGTCATGCTATTTTTGTGGGCCATTATATATGGTTCTTATTTATCCCAGTGGAGATGTCGCCAGTTGGCGCCACAAAACTCTCCGAACGTACATCGTGACTGAGATCGCTCAAGCCAAAGGTTACAAAATATATCAGAGTTGAAAGCAGCAGACCTCCAGCAACAGAGCTTTATATGCTTTACATCTAAAATGATTGCATCAGGTGAATACTGCGTATAATTAGTGAGTGCTGAATGGTTTCTAACTGTAAATTTTAGACAGTACACTTTTGTCCATTAAAGTATTGATTGGAAACCGCACTAATTTTCCTGGCATTGACTGTATTCATGCAGCATGTCTGTCTTCTCTGAACCACCAACAAAAACACAGACCACTCCATGAATCTACTTCTCCACAGCCACAAGGAACGTCTATTTTTAAAATTGTGATTTTTTTTTTTTAATAAATGCTTCATCCAACCACTTTTCTCCACATTTTCACAGTTGTCCAAAGTGGCAGCCAGCAAAGCAAAGTGGCCAATATTTCCTTCCCCTGAGCCACATCTCTCAGCTCTTGCTGGGATGTGTAGTCCTTGGG